GCCATTGAACAACATTTCCAAGGTGTACTCTGTTCTCCTCAAGATCTCTGATCTCAGCAGCTACAAGGGCGATCTTGAATTGGACGAGGACGAGATTACGGAAGAAACGCAGCCTCCATCGACCCTCAAGCTTTGGATCAACAAGCCTGGCATCATGTCGTTCGATGACGCTGCTGCTGATAAGAACGCTCCCCATGTGGAGACACTCGACCTTTCAAAGGTCTCTGACGGTTGGTACGAGGCCAAGTTGCGTTTTGTTCGTTTCCAGAGCGTTCAGAATTTGACTGTGTTTGTTGATGGAGAGGACGAGGACAAGCACACCGTGGTGGACAAGGTGGTCATTGTCGGAATCAGCGGAGACTCTCGGGAGCAGGGTTCCGTGCAGCAGCTAGAGGAAGAGTAAAATAGGTCGCCATAGGTGTTAATAGGTAGAGAGTCAAAGATGAGTTCAGGTTGTAGCGATTGACATGGGTTATCACATGGGCCGACTGACCTGTCAATCTTAAGAATTCGATTCAGAAGATATTCAATTGACTTTGAATAGTTTGCAGCCAAAAAATTTTGGAAAACCAGCCACAAAAGTTCGCTGCTGATCTATTCTCTCGGCTGCAAACCTTAGAAGGACAATGCACCTCGGCAAGGCTGAGCCACAAATGAACAAACGCCAATTTGGATTTTACAGATTTACTTTTCAATCGAATGAAGTAAAGAGATAAATTTATCAAATTCATAAAAGACGCCCCAAACAACTAGACTTCCCACACCAAGTGGCGAATGTCTGTCAACCATGCAGCCACTAAGAAGACAGGCATTAGCGAATGCGAAACGTCAGCTTGCGACAAGGACATGTAGAAGCCACCACATAATCGAAAATCACCAAAATATCCAATCCGCTGAAATCTCCAAAATCCCCTTTCTCTTCCCAACCCTCCATCCATATTATTTCCGAAGGGTGCTCGGCTATTGGCGCGGCCGTTTTCCACGGGACGAAAAAAGCCCCAGCTTTCTCAGAGGGTCTCTGGTATATAAAACTCACCTCAACTACTGTCCAGTTTTGCCCCCCAGCTCCCCTTTTAATACCTCGTGTACTCGAATCCGGAGCCAGCTCGGTAACTAAATTTCATGAACTCCGTGCTATCCAAAGGCTTACTTGCTCGACACGTGCTTGTCTCACCTTCCCGCCGGCTTCTCGGTAGGGCGTCCTTGGTTCTTCCTATGAGCTATGGACGCCTTCCAGCCCGCCAGGTGAGGCTCCAGTCGACGAAAACGGAAGAAAAGAAACCAGACACGCTGGTGATTCGGAAGCAAGATGTGCCATCTACCGAGGTGGCCGAAAGCACCGAAAAAAAAGCAGCTGAGAAGGCAAAACCCACTCTCTGGGAGAAGGTCAAGCACGAGGCGTCCCACTACTGGAACGGCACAAAGTTGTTGGGTTACGAAATGAAGGTCTCGACCAAGTTGTTGGTCAAGATGGTCTCCGGCTACGGCTTGTCGAGAAGAGAAAACAACCAGTTGCAGCGCACCATTGTGGATGTGATCCGTTTGGTGCCTTTCTCCATGTTTGTGCTTGTTCCTTTCGCCGAGTTGTTGTTGCCTGTTGCGTTGAAGATCTTCCCTAACTTGTTGCCATCCACCTACCAGTCGAAGCTGGACATCAAGAAGAAGAGAGCCGACTTGTCCAAGAGAAGAGTCAACGCCTCTGACTACATCAAGAAGACCATGGAGGAGAGCGGCCTCAAGTTGTCCAAGAAGATTTCTGAGGAGGAGAAGCAGGCTTTCGTTGGCTTTTTCGATATCATCTCCATGGGTAAGACCCCAGACAGAGAGCATTTGACCAGGGTCGCCCGTATGTTCAAGAACGATCAGGTTTTGGATAACTTGTCCCGTCCTCAATTGGTGGCCATGGCCAAGTACATGTCGCTCAGACCTTTTGGCACCGACTCCATTTTGCGTTATCAGATTAGACACCGTTTGTTGACCATTATCAAGGACGACAAGGCCATCGATTACGAGGGTGTGGAGTCTTTGACGGTCCCTGAGTTGCATGTGGCTTGTTCCCAGAGAGGTATCAAGACCCAGGATGTCTCCCCAGGCAGATTGAGAGAAGACTTGGACACTTGGTTGGACTTGAGATTGAGACAAAAGATTCCTTCTACTCTTTTAATTCTTTCCTCCGCTTACACCTACGGTGAGCACACCCAGGGTATTGACACGTATTACGACGCCCTTTTGGCTGTCTTATCCTCCATTCCTGACGAGGTGTACAATGTTGCTAAGTTGAGTATGTCTGACGACTCTAAGTTGAAGTTGGACATCTTGAAGGAGCAGGATGAGATGATCAATGAGGAGAACTTGAGAGAGAAGGACACTGTCAACAACATTAAGGATGAGATCCAATTGGATGAGTACGAGGACACTGCCAGCGAGGGCATGAAGATCGAAGAAGACGAATCCAAGAATGACAAGGAGAAGGATGAGAAGAACAGTGAGAAGAACAGTGAGAAGAAGAGTGAGGAGAGTGACGCCAGTGCTACTATTAGTGGCGACAAAAAATAGAGAAGCAACCCTGTCTATAAAAGTTAAAAACGAATTAACGAAATATTTATATAAGCTATTCGGTACATTTGTGTAAGTTCATTAGTTGTGGCCAGTGGATCCGAAACCACCCTCGCCTCTATCGGTGTGATCCAACTCCTCCTTGGAGATGACAGCGATTTCAGCATTCACGATACGCTCCAAAACCAATTGAGCGATACGGTCGCCGGCCTTGATCTCAAAGTCCTTCTGAGAGTGGTTGAAGAGCACAACCTTAACCTCACCTCTGTAGTCAGCGTCAATAACACCAGCACCGGTAGAGATACCGTGCTTCACAGCCAAACCAGATCTTGGGGCCACTCTGCCGTAAGTGCCTTCAGGAACAATTACAGAGATATCGGTAGCGACGAGACCCTGACCCTGGGCTGGGATCACGGCTTCTTCAGCAGAATAGAGGTCATAGCCTGCAGCCAAAACAGAACCTCTAGTAGGCACCTTGGCTCTCTCGGAACGGAGGAAAACTTTGAGGTCGGTGGACACTTTCTGTTTCTTTTCAGTTGACATGGTATGGAAGAAGATGTGATGGAAAACTGTGTAGCGCGTTGCAGCGCGACGCGAATGGGGTCTATTGAACCACAAATCCAAGGTAAGACTGAGGATTGAAGCAGTCATGCAAACGGATATTTAAAATGTTGGGGGTGATTTGTTCTGGTAATTTTCGAAGACTTTCGCCACTGACCCTCATATTGAATGGTCTCACTGTCTCCAGCTCGGCAATACCTAAAGGAAGGCCTTCTAGTGACTTGGTAGACTGCTTGAAGATGCATTGGTAAAGCGTAAGCTGTAGGATGAGTATGATGAAGTCGATCAATATGAGTTGGAAGAGGCCTAGCTGCCAGAGCCGGAGCCATATGTTGGAGGATGGATCGTACTCAGGTACAGATTCACCTATGAAGGAAACAAGCCACCAGGAGCCATTTGTGATGTATTCAAGCTCTTTGTTATCGGCCACCAGTTTCAACCAGAAGAAGAAAAGCACATGATACAAGACGTTCAGGATAAATTTGCCGTAGATGAGGGCTAAGACAAACTTCGTGAGATTGCTCCGGAACGTCGTACTGGGATCACCTGTTTCCTGTTCTCTCTTTTTGATTCCTTGGTCTATGGTTTCCAAAGTGGACCAGTTATCTGGTTCTGTAATGGCCTTGACAGATATGATCACCTGAACCACTGAGTCTATAATGAATGGCCATATACAAGCTAGATGGCAATACTTGATTAGTTGCAATCCCGAAAGTACAACCACAGTTTTCTCCAAATGGCGTAGCATGTGCCGCTGACTTCGAGCTTTGGTTACTAGGTACTCGGACTTCTTGAAGGCGGTGAGCTTGTCTTCCTCGATATGTAGGGTGTTCCATTTACTGATGGAAGATTCTATTGAAGTGGATCGAGCCGCACTCAGCAGCTCTATGGGAAATGCCCCAGGCATCAAGGAGCCCATGTTGGAAATGTGGAGTAGTTGATTTGGATCTGTCACTATCAATAGCTCTTTATCAGTGCAGGCTGGTGCGCCGAGGGGCGGAAGGACTTCCGAGCATGTTGCTTTTTAAAAATAAAAGTGTGTTCATAGAAGAAGGATTTTTTGTTTAATAGGATCTGATTTTTTCATCCAACGGCTGCTTGTGGATACTTCTGGCAAGAGACGGGTTTTAGGGTTGCCGCACTTAGTATTACTGTGGGTGCCAAGTTGAGTACATCACTTTATCTGCCCCAGCTGGTTCATAGCTAGGCCAAGAACCGACATTCTTGAACAAGACAGCGAAAGAAATAATCGTAATCGTAATTGTTTGGGTAGCTTCGAGTGAGGCATGCTTATCTTTGAATGTACTTGTTGCGAAATTCCCTGGCTGGTGTTATGGGACATAGCACCTAGATTAAGGCTATCCGTTCAGGTTAATACAAGAGATAGGTTCTCATCATAAGCAAAAAATTCTGATGAATAAGCACCCTTGATTGTCTGATACTGCCCAACTATTCATTCCTGACTTGAACGACTAAACCAAATAAGGACTACATGTTCCTGACCTGGAATGAGGGTTTCAAAGGGACGTTCAATACTAAGGATTCATCAAATTAGAACAGAATCAAGATATAATATTCTTCTAGTAAAGATATGCTTCTGCATTTACAATGGCTGCAAATCTCGCGTATCTGAAATCGACCATTAACAAGTCATGATAACCCGCAATTCTGCTCGATTAAATAATTTTACTTCCACATTTCTATTATCCTCTCTTTTTTGAATAAATCCTAAATAAATGTGCGAATCTCGCTCGTCGGTCTCATTAGACTGGTCCCCGTATTTCATGCTTCCTACACGTAACGGGTGTTGATGTACGCGTCGCTGAATCCATCGAAATAATACACGGATAATGACTCTGGTGGAAGAAAACCCGCCTCCTGCCATGGGACAGAGCTCTGTTAAATCTGAAACTCCTACTTCTGGGAAAAGACAATTCAACATCGACGACTTTGCGAGAAAGAAACCCAAAACGGACTCTGAAACAAGCGGCTCCCAAGAAGCGAGTCCCGAGATAATCGAGATCGAGGATAAAGAGGTGAACCCCAATGCCAGCATTACTGACATAAAGCAAGACTCCATACCCACACCATCTACGCCGATGGACGTGAATGAGTCCATTGACTTGACTACTCCGGATGGGAAGGCCAGGGATACAAGTCCTGTGACTCTCGAGAGACCTGCGGAGCCTGTGATTCTTGAGCTGCCAAATGTTGATGATATCAAAGAGTCACAGGATACCAGGATGTCGGTGGAACCAATTGCACCTGTCACGACAAATGAAATGCCTAAAGTTGAAGCACTCAAGATCGATGAGCCAAAGACGTTGACACAGAAGCAGCTAGAAAGACTAGAAAAACAGAAGATACGTGAACAGGAAAGACTCGAACGAGAAAAGAAGAAGGAAGAGGAGCGCATACTCAAGAAACTAGAAAGAGAAAGAAAGGACCAGGAACGGCTAATCAAGAAGCAGAAACTCGAGGAGGAGAAGGAAAGAAAGCGCGAAGAGGAGAGACAGCGCAGGGAAGAGAAGAAGAGAAAGGTTGATGAGGAGCGGAAGAGAAAGGAACAAGAGCGCATAAAGAAGGATGAAGAGAAGAAGCGTAAGGAGGAAGAACGCAAACAGCAAGAGGAAGAAAGAAAGAAGCAGGAGGAGCAGAAGGAACGAAGCCAAATGAAGATTTCTAGTTTCTTCACCGTTAAACCTGCTGCCTCGAAGCAAAAATCTTCTTTGCCAGTTCCAACATCATCAAAAGCATCCACACTGGGTAAAGAAGCTAGTCTTTACGAGAGGCAATTCCTCCCTTTTTTCATCAAGAAGAACACAACAATGGCTGCTTCAAGAACTATGCCCAAGGAGGCTTTGAATGCTCTGATAAGCGAGTTTGATAAAAGTTTGTCCTCATCAGAGGCTAGCAGCATAAGTCGGATGTTCCCACAGCCTACGGTCACTCCACAGCGATCGACTTTCACCGACGCTGAAGACCTTGCTGAAGCATTGAACTCCACTTCCGTCAGTGAGTCAAGCGTGAAATCGCTTTTGAAAAACCTCCCCAGCATAAAGTACTTGCAGTTCTACGAAAACGCCAAACCACCCTATGTTGGTACCTGGTGCTCGAAACTTCACTCAAAAACGCCGTTTACCGCGTTTAACCCGCTCGATACCTCACTCACGGGCTACGACTACAATTATGATTCTGATCTAGATTGGCAAGATGGTGATGAGGGTGAGGGTGAGGACATCGATGACCTAGAGGATGGTGATGGTGACGAGGATGATATCAATGAAGACGAGGAGATGGATGACTTTGTGGAAAATAATAACGAAAACAAGCGAAGGCTAAATATGGGTCCTATGGAGGCAGTGACAATCATCAATGACGGAAGTAATTCGGCCTTGTTCGAGAGTTTGCAATTTCGCCTCTTCCAGCCTCTGCTCAAATTCCCTATCAACCCCAATGAGGGTCCCAAGGGAAGTGAAAAGATTGTGGAACAGCCATCTGTACAAAGTGATACTCCATTCTCTGTAAGCCAATTGAAGGCTACCCCATTGCAAGGCAAAAGCACTGCCAGTCCCAATGTTCTCACGCCTCAGAAACCTACAATTCAAGATAAAGCAGTTGTTCAACAACTAATTGCATTTATCGAAAAAAATTCGGACTTCACCATTGGAACTCTATCCGAATTGGCGAAGAAAGAGTTCAAGAATTACACCAAGAGCATTCTCAAGCACACCATCCAAGACGTTGCCACATACAACAAAAAACAAAGTTTATGGGAAATCAAGGAAGGTGCCAAAGAGAAGGTTTAATTTACTGCATATATAGATGGATATGGAATATCGATCTCGGATGAGCTTGTAGGGTACATGTAGATGTAGACGCGCGTCATCTCTAGCTACACTATCAAACATAACCTATGGAGCAAGAGGAGGATGACGAACCCGCCTCTCTATTTTTCGCTTCTACACAGATCCAATCTCGTCATGAAGACCTTGAAAAAACAGAGCAAACTTTAGGAAAACTTCAAAAATTCAAAAATGATAGTCCCCCACATAAGAAGATCAATGTGACTATGCACAAGCCGCCTAGGAAACCAAGGGCAAAGAAGGCAGATATAAAAAAGAAGAAGGCTTCGACAAGCTCACTTTCTTTGAATGCTTTTGTGAAAGAGACGTTCCGGAACAAACAGAAGCCTGATCCACTGAGTATCCTAGACTACTTTGCTGGTGATTCCCAGAAAGTTGACCAGTTCCTCAGCAAAATCGAGGATGTTGCAAGGAAAGACGGAGATTCAAAGCAAGAAATCAGACCCTCAATTCACTCTAAAGAGGAGTGGGAAGGCGTGTTGAAGAGCATACGGCTTCGATTCCCAAATCTCTCTACAAGGAACCAGAGAACACTTAGCAAGATATCACAGCAGTTGAAAAGCCTACAGCGTTCGGATTCTGAGTCTGTCACCGAGCTGCCGTCTGTTTGGTCCCAAGCATCTAGGCAACCAAGCGATAGTCTTACAACGGAGGACATGAAGTGGTTGTACGACTTAGATAATGCAGAGAAGATCAAGGACCTAGATGCAAATGACTTACAGCTTCACGAGGAAGAAGAGGAAGAGAAGCCTTTTTACCTCACCCTTTCGCAAGCTATGGATCAAAGCAAGGTGAGGGATAGCGAGGACGAGGGCGACGAGAGCATTCAGATAATAGATGCAAAATCCCCAATTCTAATATCGGACTCTGAGTCCGAGCCTGAGCCATACATCCCACCGAACAATATAGCAGAAGCCGACGATATACCATCTCATCAGGTGGCTGGTCCACCTGAGTCAGTTGATCTTCTTACCAGCATCGCATTCAACTCAAAGTGCCAAAGGGAGGACATGCCCGTTGGGACTCAAACTCAGCCACTTGTGGTAGAAGAGGCGGTTCTGCCAAAGAAAAACGACGAAAGCATAATCTTCTCTTCTCCAGTCAAACCTGTGCTTACCAAGAAGCCAAAAACACCAACCAAGTGGCCAAGTAATCTTGTGATAACATCTTCACCTGTTTCATCAGGTAAGGAAGATCTGGCGAAGAAAGGTGAAGAGGAAGAGGTTTTTGCAACGGCAAGAAGTGTTCCTGACGAGACGCAAGGCTCGCAATCACCCACGCTACAATCTTCAATGCCGCTGCCAAAACGAAAGATCTCCAGAAAGCGAAGCTTCAAGACATCCACACTAGAATATTGGGGGCATGTGGAGATCCCAGAAAATCTGTCCAATACTATTAAAATGAGAAAAATACCCACAACTTCCGAGGGCGATCAGATCCCAGATTCAGAGGAAAGCGATTGCGAGGTTAGCTTGATTGAAATAAGTAAGCCTTCCGACCCTATAGAACCTCCAAAGCCCCTCAAGAACCCATCGATCCTACAAGTTCCTTCAAGTCCACGACTCAGTACACAATCGGACAGCTTCCTGAAGTTGTCACTGCTACCCATGAAGGATGTGAGAGAAATCTACTTACATTTGGGACTCGCACCTGCAAAGCTCAAAGCGACAATGGTGGCGGCGATAGAGTATGCAACTGAACTCACGGGAATTTCTATTGATGATTTGTTAAATAATGATACGGAGCTCAAGGCACGACTGCTCGGGAAGCAGTTCATGAGCATGCTATATGATAAAATGACCAATCTGATCAAAATGTCTGACGATTTGCACTTGAAGATCGCCTTGTTCGAGCCAATAAATATAGAGGCCGTTGCACAACGTTTGAAGGATGAAGATGTGTTCCCGATCGAGATAGACATTCCATTCCTTCAGAAATACTGTGATGAGAAGGGAGTCAGCACGACAAACAGGCCCATTTAAAGAAATTTTTTGTGATCAGCGTCTATGTCATTGCTCAAAAGACGAGTTTCAAGGAAAAGCAAGATTCTGATCATAATGAAAGAGCTTAATGCAATGGATCCAATGGTGACGGCCACGGTCGAAAGAAGGCCGCCAAACTTCCGGTCATTGATGGCGATTATGACCCAGTACAAGTGGTAAAGGAACAAGGCTAGCGCGACAATAGTGGCGCCAGTCATGAAGGATGCTTTAGCCGCTCTTGACTTGGAGATTCTCTCCTGTTTTGGAGGAAGTGGTTTCTTAGCGTAAGGCATTTTGAAGATAACGCGTTTTAGTGGAATCAGAAATCTGTCAGAGAAGAAGCGAGCAAATGCGTATCGCGCGCATGCAGTAAGGAGTGTCAGCTGCGGTCCTTATCGTTTGCAACCTTTTTGGAAGCGATGAATCATGCAAATGTAGAAGTTAATGAGAGGAGGAAAAGTGACAAAAGTTGGTTTGAATCGGAATCCTATTTTGTTATATTCAGCATCTTGTTGCTGTTGGAAGAGACAAAACGGATGATTTTGCTATCCTGCTAGGCTCTATGAAGCTCCCCTTCAGACCACGAATAATAAGACGTCCAAACTTACCTTGGCCTTCACCAAAACATTATTTCCTGAAACCAAGAGTCGAAATTGTGTAGTGCCCGAGTATCGGGTTCGGTTTCTAGAATACGCACGTGAGGCTCTATCTGCAAGCGAGGTTGTCTGACCTTTTCCAGACTCAAAAGCACAAGCAGCTTTATGTCCTATTGAACACTTCAAAAGCATATTTATCATGGAGAACGTATACAAAGCCGATCCTACGCTACTGGTGAAGCCTGCCTACTATTCCAATGGAGTTCCGGTTTTCGAGCCGACCATGGACGAATTCAGAGATTTTTATCTGTACAATAAGGCTATCAATCGGTATGGCATGCAATCAGGGATAGTGAAAGTTATCCCACCTCCGGAGTGGGTTGCTCTGTTGAAAGGAACTTATACTCAAGACAATCTTCTGCAAGTGAAGATCAGAAACCCTATTGTGCAAAACATCAATGTCACTGCTGGTTACCTGGGAGTTTTCTCTCTGCAGAACGTGGAACGTCAAAGGAGTTATAACATATTTCAATGGAAGGAATTGCTGACTAAACACAACCATAGTCCTCCAGCTCGTCGCAAAAGTAGAGGACGGGGCAGCAGTCTGCCTCAAGCTGAGGAGAAAGAAGAAACTGTGGAGAAGGACCAAAGAGCGAAACGCTCGACTTGCAAGTCCTCCAAAGAAATTGCTGATGAACTTTTAGACGCTGACTTTAATATCGATACCAATGAGTTTACTCCAGAGAGATGCAGTGAGCTCGAGGCGGTTTACTGGAAGTCAGTCGGGTACTCAGAGCCCATGTATGGTGCTGATATGTTGGGGTCTCTCTTTTTAGACAGAACAACCAGTTGGAACGTGGCACACCTTCCCAACGTCCTAGACTTGATGGAAGAGAAGATTCCGGGTGTTAACGATGCCTACCTTTATGCGGGTCTCTGGAAAGCCACATTCTCGTGGCACTTGGAGGACCAAGACTTATATTCAATCAACTACCTACATTTCGGGGCTCCAAAGCAATGGTACTCGATCCCGCAGGAAGAGAGTGGGAAATTCTATAACCTTATGAAGGAGATATTCAATGAGGACTATAAGAATTGTCGTGAGTTCTTAAGACACAAGACATTTATGGCTTCACCGCAATTTTTACAGAAGCATGGCATCACCTGCAACAGCATTGTCCACAACCAGGGTGAGTTCATGATCACGTATCCCTATGGTTATCACTCGGGCTACAATTTAGGCTACAACCTCGCCGAATCCGTCAATTTCGCTTTAGACGACTGGTTCCCGTTTGCAGAAAAGACAAACAAGTGTGAGTGTATTTCTGACTCTGTTGGAATCAATCACAAACAGATATACTGCAAGTTCAAGGGCATTCCGTACGTTGCCGAAACTAAAACTCAGCCAGAGGAACCCCCTCAAAAGGTGATGGAAACCCCAACGGCCAAGAAACCGTCGATCCGCAAGCGTGAGAAGAAAGAGAACATACAGAATCAATGCGCTCTCTGTCCAAACACGTTGCTGAAGGACTTACTAGATTTCCAGCCTTTTGAACTCCTTGGAACTGATGTGGATGCTACAAAACCAAGTCAAGTGCATCGCATTTGCGCTGAGCAGTTCAAGGATCAAATATCCATTCAGGGAAAGAAAGCAAACGGACTCAAGTCTATCAGCAAAGCACAGCGTGGACTCAAGTGTCAAGTTTGCCATGTACCAAACTCAACACTGGGCACTGCCATAGTGGGAGCCTGCTTTCAGTGTTCCCACAACAAATGCACCAGGGCCTTCCATGCTACTTGTGCTATCTCAGGTGGTGTGATGATGGACTCGGGCCTCTGCAAAATGCACAGAGTAACGAAATCACCATTTTATGATAGAGGTGCGCTGGAAGCCCAAGCAAAACTAGAGACTGTTCAAAAGGATTCGATTATCCAATTCACCTTCACCAATCTCACGCGTCGTCGACACTCAGGGGAGGTTTACGCTGGACTAGTGCTTAGAAACAATGTGAGAGAGTCTACCCTCGAGGTGCTCGTTTACCCCAATTTAAAGGATAAGGTGGAGATTCAGTACGACGACATACTTATTGGATCTCTGCAACACCTTGACAATCAACAACTCATGGCAATGCAAAAGAGGATTTCGAAGGGCAGAAGGGCTTCTGAGCCAACCGCACGAAAGAGAAAGAGATCTCCAGAGCATGACGCTACGGATGAGCTGCTGGCCGGCCCGGTCTCTCCTCTGGAAGTGGAGCTCAAGATGCCCCTCAAGCTTGGCAAATTTCAACCACCTCTTTTCGATGCCATGTACCAAACACGGCTGCAAACTCAACCGCAGATGGTGTTTATCAACCAAACAGCGCTGAGGGTGCACAGCCGATTCCCCGAACCTCAAGGCTTGAGATTCGTGGAAGAAACATTTAATGACCATTGATGATTTGCTGTATATATTCGAGAATTTATGTGCGTGAAAGGAGTTCTCTCGTAGACTACATATCTAGAGCGCTAACATCGCGCATCAAATCTACAACCTCTAGCTTTATGGAGCAAGTACATGCCAGCAAAAAGAAGCAAGCGCCCTCCTAAACACGACGACGAAAGTCTTAGTGAAGATGTCGATGACGACACAGAAGAGGCAATTGCATTGAAACCCTCCACAAAACGACCGAAGCCTGATCTATCTGAACAATGGATAGATAAGTACGAACCTACTAAGGTTGAAGAGATCTGCTTGAATCCAAGGAAGCTCAAGGAGGTCAGCGAAGCGCTTAATGATATTATCGCCAAAAAGCTGAACTGTCGACTTCTTGTTTTGTCAGGTCCAGCAGGCTCCTCCAAATCCACCTGTGCTAGGCTTCTAGCGAAGAGGAGCTTGAGTGAAAAACACACTTTTTCAGGCAATTCCAAACCCTCGGCTGGTACGGTCGTGGAGTACTTTGATACAAGCATCGAGGATGTGTACCAAATGGATCAATTCCGAGATTTCATGGATGGATGCAAATTCTTGGTAGGAACGAATCTCTCAGTGATTATTATCGAGGACTTGCCAAACATATTTCACAATGACACGCTCCAAGCGTTCAGAAGCTGTCTTCGTGACTGGATCTTTCTGGACTCCGATGTGGACCTCCCGCCCATCATACTATGTCTCCTGGAAGTGGAGAGAGAGAACTCCGATTCTGGTCAGAAGACCTACTACAACATTGAAAACAACTTGACCGTCGAAACGCTCCTAGGCAGAGATCTCTTCAACCATGGAGCTGCTCATGGCCTCATCAAGCTGATAAAATTTCTTCCCATAGCGAAAACGTTTATGAAGAAAACCTTGCATAAGATCATTGGCAAAGAGTCTGCCATTTTCAGCACCAAGCCGAGGCTGGAGGTGGAGCAATTCGTAGCTGCTACAATAGAAACTGGAGACATACGATCGCTGATATGCAACCTACAGTTTTGGAGCAGCAATGCGTTGAACTCATTCAGCGAGCGTGAGAGTCAGATATCGCTCTTTCATGCTGTGGGTAAGGTCATACACTCAAGTTCCAAATTTGCAGAACTAGACAGTCAAGTCTCGGATATGCTTTCCCTCAAGATGGTGGCTGATGCATACAGCAATTTCGGACTTCTTCATCTCACACTCTTGGAGAATTACCAGATCGTGAATGGCGGTGACTTTGATGTCGATATTGCAGCACAAGTTGTGGATGCCTTGAGCTTGAATGATACTCTCGAGGATGTTGACGAAAGTAAAGAGTACGGGATAATGGCTACAAGAATGAGTCTACGGCAGATACCTGTAAAGTCAGGTCGGACACAACCTATGAAGTTCTCCCGACATTTTAAAACGATCAGAGAGTCCAACAAAGTGAAACGAGAGGTTTCAGACTACACTCGGTATATCACGCGGCTCCAACTCCCCTTCCAGCAGGCCAACCTAATCGATGGTTGTCTCCTTCCGAAGATCTATAATCTGTTTCGATACAAGCTTCTCCACGGGCGTTCTCGGTACAACTATAACCGACTTGGTGGTACTCTAGCGCAGATCTACGCTGACGACGAGTTACCTGTCATGGAAAACGAAGGTGAGTACGAGGCTGGTGCTGAGGACCAGTTCAGATGCGATGTACGACAAAAGATCAAGGAAGAGGACCAGGAAGATGGTTCAGATGACGACGAAATGAGCGAAGAAGTGAGTGACTCCGATGGAGAACTCGACGACACAATAGGCGACGATTTAGACGACTTGCTCGGCAGTATGCGGAAGCCTGTGGACGAGAATCTACTGGACGACCCCGAGCTCGACTTGCTAGTGTCGCAGGGGATGCTATAGCCTAATTATATATTTATTAATAATACTCCTCTATGCGGACAATGCAGTTTGAAAGAAATCTGGGTCCTCCTCAAGCGATTCTTTGATGATGTCCAAGCCGCCCTGGAACTCTCCATTGACGTATAGCTGTGGGAAAGTGGGCCAGTCGGAGAATGTCTTGAGGCCCTGTCTGACCGAGTCGTCCTTCAAGATGTCAAAGAATCCAAATCTCACCTCGTGCTCTCTCAAGATAGCCACCATCTGGCGCGAGAAGCCACACTGGGGCGAGGATGGAGATCCCTTCATGAAAAGCATCACTGGGGCTGCCGCCGTAAGTTTCTTTAGTCTTTCGTTGAGCTCTTCAGCAGTAGGCTCCTTGGTTTCGGCAGGAGCAGCAGCAGCCTGGCTGGGTTCAGCGGCTGTGGAAGATGGAACTGTGTCGCCAGAAAACTGCTTCAACGCGGCAATGAATTCTTTAGGGTCGGCGCCACTCAACTCCTGCAAAATCGTGGCGTTACGAATCAATATTATGTAAGGAACGGCCGAGACTTCGAACAACTCAGAGATTTCGGAGTGGTCGTCGGCGTTGATGGAAAGAAATCTGACGTTGGGGTTAGCCTGGGCCAAGGTCTTGACCACAGAGTTCATCGTCTGGCAGGGAGCCGCCCAAGGCGTGTGGAAGTAAAGGGCGATCAACTTTGTAGGGTCATCTTTTGTGAGTTGCGTGAACTGATCCTCAGATTCGATCTCTATGAGGGACATGGTTGGAGACGAGATGGTGTAGGTTTGTCAATTAAGCGACGATCTGTGGCTGATGTGATAGTGCGCGTGATCTGTGGTCACGTGTTATGCCGTTGAAGCGTGAATAATAAGGACCACCGGCGGCCACCAATTCGATACTGTAAGAGACAAGTTACTGACTGGCATCTCGGACCCTCCTCGAACGGCTCAAGATGCAGCCGGCTCAGCCTGGCTCAACACACGGGATTACGAAACTTCACGTGCGTAGTCATGTGCCGTTTGGTCATGTGCTACATCACGTGACCCATGTGACCAGTCACGTGGAGCGCCGCGTGACGAGCGGAATCGGCCGACGCCCGAGCCGACGGGACTCCAACCCAAAAAGGAAGCTAGCAGGGCACCCCCGCTGTAAGCCACCGAGCCGGAGGCCGAAACACACGGAAAACAGCCAATCATGTTGCACGAAAAAAACCCACCAATGGAGGTGTCGGTACGAGGCCTATTCTTCGCGCTCCCCCCACGCCGATTGTTCTTTGTTCGGCTGGAAACCGCCCTTGTGTGAAAGAAAAAATAAAAAAGCCGTCTTTGTCAATCTGGGGAAATTTTGCAGGTTACCGGAACCCCGGTCCAGAAGCCGAGCCAAGCACGCCCTAGACAGGGCAGGTGAGTCAAGAAAAACATGATTGGCTGGTTTTTACGAGGGGCTGGCTTCCAGTGATTTTGGCCCTAGGTGGCGTAGATTGTTGGATTTGCTCGTTTGGCACCCTAGTGAGAAAAGCGTAGCGCAAAAAAAACGCTGCACCAGGGCCAATGAGGTGTGACGAGGCGAAGGCAGGAACAAGTTGTAGATAGTAAAGATAAGATTTGGATTAGGGGTGACACGATTGGCCCGAGTGGGCCGGCCACGTCTAATTGTGTTTTGGTCGTTTCTTTCTTTTGTTGTAAAGCGCCCCCACCGGGACCAACAAGAGGGTGTATTGTAAAGTCTATCGTATAGCGTTTGCAGCATCCTGGCTGCGCAGCCAACCTGAGACCATTTCAGGTGCCAGCCGTGTAATGACGGAATTGACCAAAGTGGAGCTTTAAATCATTGCTGACCATGGGATTTACATAATTTCTTGAAAATCCTCTATCGGCCCTCCCCTTATTCTAATCTCTGGGCCACCCCGGATTCCAGATGATGGCCTGTCTGGTGCGCCTATCTTGGGCAGGGCTTTTGTGCTTTGGTCCCCCGCAATTTCCGCACTGTCTGACCAACATTTTTTCCCCCAGACTTCACCATCACCTACTACTTCTTCCAACCTTTTCCAACTGGCTTGCCACAGCCCAAGTGTGCCTATTTATTACTATTTATTCTAGGCTCCGTCAGAGCCCCCGTTCCATTGTGGCTTGATGCTTTCTTCCACCGCTAACCTCCCCAACCACAACCTCTCGCCAATGGACTTTTCGCTTCAGGACAACATCGAAAGGGACGACTCTCCCGACGCCCTCGCCCCCGAGTCAAAAAAGAAAATCCCCCGCGAGCTCACCGCACACGGCACCACCCCTTCGGGGAAGCCCAGGCTCTTTGTTTGCAACACATGTACCAGGGCGTTTGCCCGTTTGGAGCACTTGCGCCGCCACGAGCGGTCCCACACAAAGGAAAAGCCCTTCACTTGCGGAGTGTGTCAGCGTAAGTTCTCCCGAAGAGACTTGCTCTTGAGACACGCTCAGAAGTTGCACGCGGGTTGTGCTGATGCCATTACTCGCTTGCGTAGGAAGCTGATTAAACTGAACTCCATCCTGCTGGCCCTGGGCGAGCCTTACGACGAGGCTCTCTTGCTGCAGTCGCCGTACCAGAAGGACTACGCTGAGGCTACTCAGGGCGCTGGCGTCATGGGCTCCAAGGCCAACGCCTCCGCTGCCATTCCAACCCCAGGCAACTCCCACCGCGGCTCCTTGGACAGCATCCAGTTCAACTTGAACTTGTTCAACCCGGCGCTGGCCTCCCGCAAGGTGAAAAAGGACGTCAAGACTCCGCAACTCTCGCGTAATCCTTCGCTAAAGGACTCCAGCTTGCAGCGCCAGATGTTCGACCGCAGAAAAAGCAATAGGGGCAGAGGGGCATCCTTCTCTGCCCAGTCGGGTGGCAACTACGCCATGGCCATGCCTGAGTTCAATGACTCGTATCCTGGCGCCGACAATGTCGAGTTCTCCACTCCTCAGTTACTTCCTTCCACCATGGGCGATGACAACTCATGGCTTAGTAACTTATCTACGATACCCGGAATGGAGAACTCCCATAAAACGGGGCCATCTCGCACGCGGGACGAGTCCATCACCTCCTTGTCGTTGGACAACCACGACTTGCAAAATCCTACGTTCCAGAGCATGATGCGCTCAGACAGTATCACCTCCACAGGGTCGTTCCACAACATGGACGCCGGCACTCCAAGCCAGCCTCCTTACCCTTCACAGAATGGAAGCTTCAGCAAACCATCAAGGAATGAGCCTCAGATCAACAGGCAGTGCGACGGTGATATGGGCTACTCGTTCTACGGCATTCCTGAGAGTATGATGACAAAAATGCAAGGCGTACCCAAAATGAACCAGCCCCTCTCACCGATCAAGCAGGAACTTGACGATGAGCTCATGGACTTGGACAATGGTAACTCGTTCGATGCCATGCACAGCATGAACATCCCCGCTGCCATCACAAACGGAGTGAACTTCGACTTGAACTTTCTCAAGGATTTCGACGAACTCACCCAGGATTTTGATGTTGGCTCGAAGTTTTTGCCCAATGGCTATTCTTTCTACGGCGATGTCCAGTCAGTGTCGTCCTCGGGTATCGACTCTACGCCTCCACCTCAGCTTCTTTCTCCATCTGGAAACAACGGAAGCCATCAGTATTCACAGTACAGCCAGTCCGGCCATGATGAAAATGCCTTGCAGGCAGGTGATTCGAGAAGTGCCTCTGACGGTGGTTACAGCAGGACGAATTTGTTCACGAGAAACATCAGATACATGATCAACAAGTCCTTGAGCAAATATCCTATCAGTGGCATCATGTCTCCGTCCATTCCTTCGAATGAGAAATTGGAACAGTACTTACAGAACTTTGTAAGTATGTTCCTCTCCCACTTTCCTTTTATCCATCCTTCCAAGCTCAATGAATACGAGATTATGAGCATGACTTCTAATGAGCCCATGAACAACGAAAGTGCTCGTGTGTGTATGCCGCTTTTGGTTGCCACTATCGGTGCATTGCTTGCGAACAACAAGAACGATTCTGAACACCTTTACGAAGCTTCTCGTCGTACTATCCATATCTATTTGGAAAACAGAAAGAACTCTGCTGGTGATATTATCGGAGCTTCTCAAAGTCCAACACAGACAGTTAATCCACTCTGGTTGATCCAGTCCCTCACTTTGTCTGTGATTTATGGATTGTTCTCTGACAACGAAAACAATGTTTACATTGTCATCAGACAGCTCAATGCCTTGAACTCATTGGTGAAGACTTCCATCAAGAGCAACAGAAAGATTCTTTTCAGCATCAGTGGAGAAGATGAGGAATTTTTCAAAATTATCCACGAAGGCGGTACAGCTGATAGAAACATGTCTATGATAAGTGAAGAGGAAAAGGGTGAGGTGTTCTTCAAGAACAACATCAGTCTTCAATCTCAGGCAAGAATCGTATTCATGATTTACAAATTGACCAACTTTATCTTGATGACCTACAACGTCCCGCTTACATTGAGCATCAATGATTTGGGTAGTTTGACTTGTCCCAACACTCATGATGAATACTTGTGGAGCTTTAGGAATTACGCTGAATTCACCAATTACCAAAAGGCCACCGACACCCCGCATGGTATTGACTTCTACTTGAGCAAGAACGAGCACAACTCCATCGTTTTCAAGGATCTTTTGTTTAAGCTCCTGAAGAATGACATTAATCCCTCGCTTGTATCTCAATTGTCGAACCTCAGCAAGTATGGTTTTACTTCTATTGCTCACGGTATCTATGAGATGAAGCAGTATGACGAGATGAAATACATTGATGTCTTCTCCATCTTGGATAGCTTGACGATGTTCATCGACAATTCCAAGAACAACTCTGACACGAGAATCGTCAAGGATGCGGCATTGGACTTTGAAAAGCAGGACTATGCATTGCTTGTCAGCTTCATCAAGATCAGTTCGACAATCGACTTCAAGCTCGTCAAGGAACAGAGCTGGCTCAAAAACTTTGACGAACTCACGAAAAATTATCACAAGTTTTTGAATTCCGCTAACTCTGTGGATGACGTTGAATTCTTGAAGGTAATTGATTGCTGCATCCTCATCATCAAGCTCATTTTATTCAAGACTGAGGACAGAGGTCAAGACAAGGATGTGAATGGTCTTCAATTTGGCGACAACAGCTTGCTGCATCAGTACAATACTTGTGCGGACTTTGAGAAGATGATGGGTTGGAAAATCAACGATGAGGTTGACATCACCAAGAACTCGGTTCATTCACAAATGTTGTTCCATGTCTTCACGATTCTTTCAGTGTTTGCCATTTATATTGCCAAGAGAAACCGTGGTCAGAATGATCTTGCCAACTCTGACAAGCCCACATACACTAGTCAGCTCAACCAGCGCTTCATGGTTGTTCTCCGTGTGCTTGCGAGAATTGAGCAGTTTTTGAAGACCAAGTACCGCAATTCAAAGCATGAGTCCGATCTTACCAATCTTTACTTGTTTTCATCGTTCAACAACGACAGTCTACTCATGGACAGCACTGACTTCATGCATGACGATAATGCTATGGAGCAGCTCGTCAACTCACACGAGAACTACTTCGCTTTTAGTTTGGAAAAAGCACTCTACGTGCTCAAGATTGGAGAGCTCATGTTGCGCTACTTGTACGATACAAACATCAAGGTTTGCATCTTTAGAAAGTTGAGTGGAAGTCTCCTGCAAATGAGAAAGTTCTTGATCGACAACGAAAGTCGGGTCCTCACTTGAGGGAAGCAGCTACGGACACACCCCATAAAAGATAAAAACCTTAACAGTCAAAAAAAAACAAAATATCACTATTTATTAACAGTCTATTTATTGCCAGATTCATCTGGCCCCAGAGTCTAGTACTCGCTTGTTTTAGTTCTTTTTAGTCACGATGCTATGTCACTTTCCCCACAATCTATCGTAGTGCGATTTTTATCTTGAACATATTTTCAGCCCCCACACCTATAAACTGAACGATGCCCAACGCCAGACCTTTGAGCAAAGAAGAAAGAGAGTTCAGACGTGAAGAGCGCAAAGAAAATGAGTTGAATATCAAGGATTTGAAATTTGCTGTTGGTGGGTTCGTCGTTTTGGTGATCATCCTTACCCATTATGCTTTGGTCATGAGACAGCTCTTGAGATACCCAGACATGTCTTACGTCTGGATGGGTGTCCACTTCGGTGGCTTAGGTGTCACGATTGTGGCCACTGTCTGGCTTTTCATCAAGTTCGTCTATAAGAAGATTTACGCCGAAGAACTCAAGGAGATGAATGAAAAGAAGGAGGAATAAGTGCATCAGTGACATTCAGTTCATGAAACGAGTAACGACTGCTCATATTTACGTCATTTTGTTAATTATTTAATTGTTAATCATGGCCTAGCCAACAAGACACCGTAGGCGCCAAGGGTGACGAGAGACACGAGGTTGAAGATCGAGGAGAAGCCATGGTGCTTTCCGAACTGCTTATTCAAAGCAGCCATCTCATCAGTGGGCTTCGTCTCACCATCAACAACATGCTCGTGCTTCTTGTCAGCAATCAACTTGAGCTTCTCTTCCTTGATTCTCTGACAAGTAGGCAAGCACCAGAAGTAGTTCAATGCACCTGCCACCAGGGAGACACCCAACAAGGACAATGCCACATTGCTGAGCACAGGAGATGTGACACCAAGGAGAATAGGAGCAGCAGCCTGGCCAATGAAGTAGATTGGGAAGACCTTGTTCTGGAGTTTTCCAAATTCTTCTCTGGGCAAGTATTTGAACGCAAGTGGCGATACAATGTAGGAGTGCATCACACCTCCGCCAAAGGCGACGGAGTAGAGCAAGATGTTAACAGCGGATTTGATGGCCATTGGCAAAAGGATGTAGCTAAGTTGTTGGTATGAAGAATGGATTAAATATGCAGATTCGGGGCTTCTCGGTAATATCGCGTGGTCCCACACTCGCAGGAACCTAGAGCGTCTCGATCATGCGGAAGACACACTCAAGAGCATTGGCCTTTTCGGTTTCGCCATATCGTAAAACACTTTTTTCAAGATCGCCGTAGTGCTGGTAAGCCCAAGAAAAGTCACTTTGAAGGCCGATACTCATCTTGCTGATGTGCTGCTTTTGGTGCTCATCCAGGAGCTTAGAGGTCTGCTCATACTCTTTCGCAGCCACTTCAGCCTTATCAACGATGTCACTCTGAATTCCACACATGGCAGCAACATTCATGCCGAATGAGCCCGATGCGGTTCCCTCTTCTAGCTTGTACAAGAACGTAATGTTTCTCGAATTTTGGTCCACCACGATGCCCATTCTCATGGCCTTAATTCGAGGATGGTTCACAAAAGAGAGACCCATACTTCCGTAGTGAGTGGCAAAGAACCCGAGAGGTTGCGCATGTGTGGCAAGATGATGCAATACAGATTCGGCTATGGCGTAACCGTCACTTGACGAACCGCCTCTTCCCAATTCATCGAGGATAACGAGCGAATTGGAAGTGGCATTACTCAAGATCTTCTTTGTCTCGGACAACTCGACGAAGAAAGTGGACTTACCTTGCATGATATTGTCGTTGGCACCCAAACGCGTCATAATTTTGTCAACAGGTGTCAATGTAGCTTTCGAGGCCGGCAAGTAACAACCAATCTGACTCATGACAACAGCCAAGGCTGTTGTTCTCATAAGTGTCGACTTACCAGCAGCATTGGCACCAGTTAGCAAGTTGAAACTGGCTTCGGATCCTCCAAGGTGAACATCATTTGGTATGAAGTCACTGGTACCTAAGAAACATGGGTGTCGAAGCTCGTCAAATTCGATTTTGGCATCCGAATCTGAAATGAATGTTGGACGACAAGATGGGAAGCTGATTGTCTCGGACGTTTTTGTCAAAGCAAGCAAGCAGTCGATGTTGCTGGCGATTTTGATTGCAGACATCCACAAATCGTAGTGTTTGTCGAATCTTTGGTACATTCTCAGAATCAAGTTGTCGCAAACGGTCTTGTGAGTTTCCCTTTGTTCCATAAGACTTCTTGCCGTGGCCTTCACCTCTGGAGACCAGTATCTCTTGACCTTCGATGTTGCGCCCATCTGTTGCCAGTCCTTTGGAATCGACTTGATTTTGATTGGCATTTCGATGAGGAAGATCTCCTTTCCTGAGTCTCTAAAACAGATCTCATGCGACTTGTATTCTTTCTTGTACCCTTTAAGATAGTTGTTGAGCTGCTTCTCAAGGTCCTCCATAATTGCAGTAGACGAGTCAAATTCTTCGTCGACACCCTTAGCAGGCACAACCACATTCGCCATAGCCTCCTGTCTATCGAAAGCCTCTTCCCATGAATCGATAAGCTCATGGAGCTCGTCAGGGAAGCGGTCTATGAACTTCTTCAACGCACCTGACTTTTCTATGTCAAACTTCTTGACATTCTTGAAGATCTTGGAAATCGATTCGAAACCCTCAATGACCTTGAGGAAGTCTTTGAATCGTAATGTCTTTGCGTGAACTCTTGCAATGAGCCTTTCCAAATCTGGAAGAGCACCAAATGTGCTTTCTAATTCAACACGAAGTTCAGGCTCATTGTTGATGAAGAAATCGATGGCATCATACCTAGCGTTGATCTCGTCAACATTCATGAGAGGGTGAAGTATCCACTTTTTCAACATTCTCCTACCAAAGGGCGTAATTGCCTTGTTAAGGAGTTTGAAGAGTGTTCCCTTGTCTCCACCATCAAACGAATTGTTGAGCATTTCAAGATTGTTGAGTGTGATTCCGTCTAGGAGTAAATGGTTCGAGCCTCTCTTCGAAATCTCATACTCCTTGATGTTTCCCAAGGACATGATGCTCTCATCGAGCTTCAACAATTTAAGGTAATGCAACAAGCCACCAAACGCATGGAAGGCCACATGATGTTTATCCTTGAAATTTAAAAGCACCTGAGGATAATTGGAGAAGTCGTCAAGGTCTTTGGCTTCGTAGTATTTGCCTTTGACCAATGCCTCCAAGGTAGCATCGTAGTCCAAAAACTCAGAAAATGGGTTGAGGTGGTTCCAAATCTGATGAGAGTTGTGAGCATTGAACTTAATGATCTTGACGGCAGTTGAGCACAAGTTGTTTTTCTCGCACAAGATCTCTTTTGGTTTGATCTGGGTAATCAAGGTGTCCAATCTCGAACATTCTTCATCGTCAACCAACTCAATGAAATTGACTTCTGAGGTTGCGGTGTCGACAAAGCATGCACCAAACACCTTCTCACCTTCTTCGTTAGTGGACTCCCTGATAGACAAACAGTAAGTAGCCATATCGTCACTGATCATATCAAGATCAGTGAGTGTACCACCGGTCAAGATTCCCGTGAGTTCACGTTTGATGATTTTTTCCTCTTTGGTGCCGCCGCCTCTCATTTCCTTGGCTAAAAGCGATTCTTTTTGGTCAACCTTTGCGACTTTGTAGCCATTGCTTATAAACTCCTTGGCCCAGTACTCGAAGGACATTTCTGGGATACCAGCCAACTTCATGTTTGCTCTTCCACCGCCGGCGATTTTCAAATCAAACTGGGTATTGGCAATGACCGCATCATTCTCGTACAATTCGTAAAATTTTCCCTTCTTGAAGAACACAACTGTGTCCCACATTTTGCTCTTGATCTCCCAATACTGTTTCTCAAATGCAGTGAACTTTGCCCACGCTGATGAAGGAATGTAAAGCGTACGGGAGTCGTAGTCTGGATCGTCCACGGTTCTCTTCTCAGCATCCTTTATGTTCACAAGCCATTGATACCTCTCCTCGTTCTCTTTGGCGAATGACTTCTTCTGAGGTTTTGGTTTGGCCGCTGGCTTTGCAGCCGCCAGGGCTGTGTAACTCGAGGACGCTGTGAACTTGCTGCCCAAATTGGAGCTAGCGAGGTTCACGGCCTTTGCAGGAGGCGATTGGGCCGAGGACTTGGGGCTCTTCTTTTTGGCTGGCTTTGCCGATGCGTAAGAATCCTCGTCATCGTCATCTTCATCCATCAGAGCGACGTCGCTCTCGTCCTCGTTCACCACAAAGTCACTCATGTGCTCGTCGTCGTCGTCGTCAGCATCCTCCGTAGGCTTGAAGTCGTCCTCATCGTCGCTCTCCACGACTCTTCTTCTCTTCCGTCTGCTGGGCACATCTTCGTCCTCAGAGTCGGATTCCGCGTAGCTGACGCTCTTGTTTCTGCGCGAGCCATTATTTGGGCTAGAACTCGACTCTTGCTTAGGCTTGGACACTTTTTTCTTGGGCTGGATCTCCTCCTTTGGCTTTGACTCTCTAACTGGGGATGATTGAAGATTAGGCTCTTTGGCAGGCACATGGTTCGTTTCCAGCGTCAAAGGCGTGTCAGTTGTAGTGTCCTCCATCATGCTCGAGTCAATGTCTTTATCGCTTTCAACCTCGGGCCCCTTGGACTTAAGAGGACTAGAGGGCGTCTTTGTAGGTGCTGGTTTGAAGAAAGCCATCAATGACAGCTGCTTCATTTTCAGAGACCCCGAGCCCGAGCCAGGCTTCTTCAACGGCTTTTTAACCGGAGTTGTGGTCATTTGAAAAGAAAATTAATGTGGTTGATGTGAAGAAACTCACGGTATTTTGGCGTCTTAAGATCAAGGACTATGCGCTTCGCGTCGCATACTATTTATTTTGCTTCGCGCCTCACCGCGACTACTTTTCGCAGCCGGCTTTTTTGTGCCTATACCATACAAACTTTTTTGCACCCAATTAATCTAAAGCACCTCTTCAGCTTTTTATGTTGTTCTTCAAATTTTTGCTTTCTTTTGCGGCAGCTGCGCCGGCTTTCCGAACATTGTTCAAAATCTCCTCCAGAACTCACTCGCCGTCCTTGATCTCTTCTCTCCTTCTTACCAAGTACAAAGAGGCTGGCTCCGGTACCAATCTCTCAAAGGCACAAGCTTTAGCACTTACAGAAAGTTGCTCAAACAATGCCGTGTTCAGATACGTGTTGGAGTCAGCCCAGATTGCACAGACCTCCGTGCCTGCTTCTGAATGTAGACTCAACCGAGACGACTACTACCAAACTGTGATCCTGCCATTGTCTCACTTCCAGGCATCTTTATACGATGATAACGAAGTTGATGAAGAGCTAAGACAGAGGTTGAGGAACTTTCTACTGGAAGTCCTGCCGGGGCTCACATTTTCCAATTTCACCGAGCTCAATTATGGACTTGAGTGCTACGGTGATCACTACGAATTGACGCAAGTTGTTCTTAAACAGACCGTCGTCAAAGCTGCTCTCAAGCTACATGTCAGTGTTCCACCAGAATGTTCATTTTCCCAATTCGCTTCGCATCTTGAGAATGACTATACAACGCTGGTGGAGATAGAATTGCCGGTCAACGGCTCTTTTGTTTGCACGACAGGTCGCTCAGAGCACTGTAGTATGAAGAATGCAATTGCAACTCTGTCAAAGCTCAGAAGCCCGCCTTTTTAATCACATCACTATCTCGTACTTGGTGTCCGACTTCAATTCCTTGTGAGGAAGCACAACAGAGTTGTAAACGAACACCTGGTTGCTCACTAGAGTATCCTTACACAATACAACCAAATTGCTCAAGAATGTAGATGAATTCTCGACACTGGCTTGGCTGATTGGTGCGTTCAAGGTACCCTCGACACGGCACCACTTGCCAACTTTCACTCCCAGTGAGATGATGGCATTGCTCACGATAGTATGTGCCCCGATGGTTACATCGTCGCAAATGATACAGTTTTTGAGTCGAACACCCTCTCCCAAGGTAACATTTGCGCCAATGGTAACATTGGGTCCAAGTTTGCACTCCTTGCAGCCCAACTTACTCAACACCTTGATGGGTGGGGTCAAACAAGCAGAGGCTGTGCCTGGGTTTTGCTTGAGGAAGAACTCATTTGCAGCGAGCGCAATATGTGGAGTGGACAATTGGTACCACAGCTTCTCAATACCAAAAGCTCTGAAGTTGCTTCCATCATTTCCTGGTAAGCTTTTGAAAACGTCCAACTCTAATGACAAGATGTCGGGGTTGTAGGGGTCATCCAAGTCGTTTTCAGCGACCTTGAAGTCCAGGGAACTCACTTTTCTTGCTTTCGCTTCCTCCAATTGCTTGAATACTGAAGCCCCAAACACGTAAATTCCACCGTTGATGTGAGTCTGATAGTTGGTGTCACTAAACTTGGCAAAGCTGTCAGATTCAGGCTTTTCGATGTAGTGAACCACATCATGGGATTTTCTATTCGAGAAGACAGTACCGTATTTGCGAAGAACTTGTTCCTTGTCCAATCCCAGGAATACTTTGTCCTTAAGCAAGACAAGTGGGTCTACACCCATGATGGAGATCTTGGATGAACTCTGCTGCTGAAACTCCAACATCTCTTTGAATGGATAATCGCAGACAATGTCTCCATGGATGAACAAGATTGATGATTCTGAGTTACCAGCAAGAATTTGATCTTTAAAGAAGAAGATACCTCCACCAGTTCCCATAGGTGTTGGTTCCGTCAATAAGGTGATTTTCACGCCTGGGAACTCGGATTTGCTCGCCTTGAGATAAGAATCGAACTTGGATGGATCTTTAAAAAAGCTGATGAGAAACACCTCTTCCAACTCATTGCCCAAGTCATTCACGAGTTTATCGAGGATATGGCTAATGATGGGCTTACCAGCGATCGGGAAAAGACACTTAATGTAGTCCATTGTCAAGGGTCTGAAGCGGGTGCCGGTGGTCTCCCCGCCAACCAAAATAACAGCCTTCACCATATCTTAACGAAGTTGTATTTACAGAGAAAGTGGGGATCGCCTGATATTTATAGTTGACAAGCTTACAGTTGCAACCCCTTTAGCATTGCGCAGGAGATGTGCATTATTGCATGTTCCTTCATGCATATGTGGAGATACCTGCGCTTTACATGCACATCATGCCCCAAAGGTTTTGGCTGCGAAATGAGTCCTGCTCTATTATAACCTATGCATTGCACAAATTGACATTATTCATTAGTTTGCTTCTTGTTCAATCGATTTTTTGGATGGAACCTCAGAAGTATCTTTTTGTCTGTTTCGAAAAACAGCACCTCCGGACGGCGGGGCTTGGTCAATATGTTGACTCTCCTGTGCCCGTCTTTCCATGTCCTTTTGAAGGAAGTATTTTGTGACATCGATGGCGGCAATAGAATCCTCACCACTGTCATGCTGCCCAATTTGAATGTTGCGACCTAGGTACCTGAAGGCCAATTGTTTGAGTGCAAAACGGAACGTGGGCGACGTCTTGTTACGAGGATAGAGCACGGCGGTGTCAACGATCTTGTCGTGGATGAGTCTCATGGCGTTCATGTCATTCTCGAGACCATGACCGACAAGAATGGTATTAGAGTCAATAATCTCGCCCAATAATGCAATTGAGTCTTCAAAAGTTACAGCCTCGGGTTTGATTTCTGCAACACCGGACCAGCGTGTGTTTAAATCAATGACTGTTCCCTTGGGCTTGACAAGAATGTCGAAAGCTTCCTCCCCCGTGAAGAAATCAATGGCTGTTATACGAAGAAGTTCAAAACCGTAATCGGTGTAGCCCATTTCGCAGTCAATTCCGACTGCTTCCAAGCTCCCCTTCTTCGTTCCCCAGATATCTTGTGTACGCACAAATGGTTGAGCCTTGTGCAATTCTTCCGGTCCATCCCAATGAAAGACGTGACGATTCCATTGTGCGCATGGCTCTGTGTCATTAGCTCCCAAGGCTCCTTGGCAACACAGATAGATCCTCTCATTCTGGTCATTCTTCAAAGGCTTTCCAGCATGGTAACGACAGTCCACTTCTTTTAAAGCATCTTCAAGCTTGAACTCAGCCTTGCATCGTCTGCACACACGTTCTTGCTTGAATTCGGCTATCTTCTCCGGGAAATCCATGATGAAGCCGTATTTTATGAGCTTCTCGCGATCGATAATATTACGCCTCAACTCGCCTAAGAGCTCTTTGTTGCTGTACTTTTTCTGGCCTTTTGGCTTTAGCTTCTCAGGGTGGTTGATTTCATAGATCCTCCGTTTAATTGAATGAGCGTAAGAGGCTTTGCCTGGGCATTGACATGCGATTTTGAACTCCTCATCTATGCCATCAAGTATCGGTGTCTTATTTTCCGGTTGGTTCCGCCTAATGGCAGCCACGATATGCTCAATGAACTTCTTTCTTTGGGGCAACATATCCGGGGAAGGGTTCACCTCCCTCGGCATTATGAACTTAGGTTCAACCTTCTTCTCTTTCTCGTTTCCCAAATAATCCTCGACTTTCTTTTGGTATTCCTGTAGATCCTTGCTCTCAACAGCGAATATATGCTCTTTATCAACAGCGGAGCGATTGGGTGTCTCGCTTAGCTTCTTCTTTCTTATATGTTCAGCAATCTGTTTCGCATATTCAAGGCGTTGCCCTCTCGGAAGACTGACTCCTGTGGTCAAGGCTTTGGTGATGATAAACGTCAAATCCTTGACTGCTTTGAAGTCTGGACTAGGTGTATCGGTCTTCACTCTTTTGGATGCAACCACGGCCTCGTCTGATGATCGCCTTCTCTTGACATCGTGATTGAAGATACAGTTTATAACACGACAATCACCGAAATTAGCGAGGTCAGGACATTGAACATTTGCAAAAGCATTGTTCTCCAAGCGGAACATTTATAGTTTATTATAGCAAGTTGTTAGTGTTCATATGATGACTTCACAAACAGAACCTATTCACTATGCACCGTTACAAGGTTACCCGGTATGGATCTGTATTCCTGCACGCATGCGCGATGCCAGGGTATAAAGCGAAGGCTCTTCCCACGCCTTCAAGATTTTTTTTTTTTCTCTGTCGACGTACTTCATAGGATCATTTCTATAGGTCACGTCCCACAATGACTCTTCTAAAGAGCCACTGAATCCAACTTGGTTGATGAGTAAGATACCCTCGCGCCCTCAAAGTGAGAACACATTTAGCTTGTCCACGATCCCTTGCGGTCTGGTCATCTACAATTTGTTTGCCTTTCACCAGCCACTTACGACCTAGTCATTAGTGCTGAAAGGAGCGATGATCTTGACCCTTTGCCACATGCTTTTTCGGAAGACGTGGCTTTGGGTGGGTGCGAGTGGCAGTCTGACAAGTTACTTGCCTTGAGCAGTCTGCTCTATGGCTTGTGACTATAGTCTACTCCGTGTTGTGATGTCGGCGCATTGTAGTTGATCAAAACAGGTTTTGATCGCATTATTCTATGAACGATTTACTAGTTGTGCTATACGTGCTCAGCACCAGCATTTGGGTACTCGTACAACTTGTAGTAGTCCACAATCTGGCCGTTGAGGTTGTTTTCACCCTCGATAGGTAAGTAAAACAAGTTTCTCCAGGTTACATCGCCGATGAACCAGAAGTCCAACCAGTTTTGCTGCCATCCAAAATCAGTTGGAATATGCAAGTTCTCGAGAGGTCCAGGCGCCTCCAGTTGAGTTTTTCTGAATAAGGAGGCCACGGCAAGTTTCACTGTCATCACAAACTGGTCCAAACCTAAGAGCTTGCAGCATACACCAAGTCCATGATTGTGACCTCTTCTAACTGGCAGGGTCGATTCAACTGGTGGTCTGGGGCCATCGAAGTCGCTTGGAACAGTAGAATGATTGTACATGGGGTTGTTGACTCTGTTGTTGAGTGAGCTGAATTCCCATGTCGTCAAGCCCTTGAGTACCTGGAACGTTTGCACAGTGCACAAGAAGCCAAGCCAGACCAAGTTGAACAAACACCAGATGTTGAGGTTGAATATGAAGTGGTTGTTGTAGAATCCTTTGCACAAGTCCTCGCTAAGAAGGTGGCACTTTTCATCAATGTCAGAGTCGTATCCCAGTCCATGCTCAGCGACATCAAAGAATTTGATGGACAGAATGAAAAACAGGACGATGGCCACGGCGAGGGAGTACGTAAATGTGAGGAATAGTTTGTGGTTTCTAACACCGATGTCGTTGTAAACCCATGGACAAAAGTGATCGAACCTAGCAATGAGCCTATTGCTGAATCTTGAATATTTCGATCTCAACGGTCTGCGGGCGAAGGTGTTGACGCAAAAGTGCTCAGTGTCGAATCTTGCGAGGGAAATGAGCTCTTTGACATCTTTGAGAACAGCTTCTGAGTCAGTGGTGATGGGAATCTGACCTGGATTGATGAACATGGCCTTGAAGAAGGTGTATGAGAATAAAGAAACTGACGCTGCCACCATCACACTCGCCACAAAGCGTTTAAAAACCACAGCCGGTAGAATGGCAAAAATCCAAACTATTATGCACCAGAAGGCCGTTCCGGAGAAAAGTCCGGCCAAATATGGACTTTTCAATATGCTAGTATCTTTCGGCAGGTACATTGGAATCAAGAACATTTTGGTGAGTAAAGTACCAACTCCAAAAAGAAGACCGGACATGAAGATTTCTGGTATGGCTAGACCATTGCTAAAGTTGCAAAGTCTCAAGACAATAGGCAACAAGACGTAAGGTACAAGGAATGTCACCACTTTTGCGGGCTTAGGTTCGAGCAAATGCGTACGTGGAGCCCAGTTGTTCTTTTGGTCTCTATCAGCTTCACGCAAGACCTGCAACCAGGTGTTCTCACAATTCATGTCTTGGCTGACTCCGAAGGAATCTTTATTTTTGTCGTTTTTATGATAGATGTCGGAACCCGCTTCCAAGAGTGCTGCAAGTACAGACTTGTAGCCTCTGATGAATGCCCAATGTAAGGGGGTCATCTGGGTCTGATCGACCTTGTTGACATCAGCTCCGTATTTAAGAAGAGCGTTCACCGTGAGAATATCACCCTGATACGATGCCCAATGCAAAGCTGTACACTTGATAGAGTCGGGCTCGTCAATATAGATACGTTTCATCGGATCGTCCGTTGCGACACAACTCAACAAGATATAAATACACAAGGTAATGTTGGAGCTGTGAACAGCCAAGTGCAATGCATTGTAGTTTTGGGAATCCTTCAATGTGGGGTCAGCATCTGTGTGGGTGAGAAAGTAGTCCACCACATACACCAAGCCTGTTCTGCAAGCCCAATGGAATGGCGTGGCACGCAAATTACCACCGACAGCATTGGGGTCAGCCTGAGAGTATTCATTTTCCATGAGATATTTGACCAAACTCAATCGATTATTGATCGCAGCCCAGTGTAAGCCGGTCACACCGTCACTGAACGTGTCAGAAGCCTGTACCTCGCCAGAAGAGATTTTTTGTTTCACTGTTTCAAGATCACCAGCTTGGCAAGCAGCCATGAACTGGGCCAAAGTGGGATTGAGGTCTTCTTCACGAGGCTGTTGGGGTTCTTGTTCCTTGGTGTCATCTGTCTGGATGCCAACGCTGCCATTTGTCTGTGTTTCTTCTCCTTTTGAATTGAGGGCTTCCAATTCGGTAGAGGCTCCAGTTTCATCATGCCCAACCAAAGGAACCATGGTCATATCGTCATCTTTGGGTAGATCAGACATTGGTGAGTTGTAGTATGATCTGGTTTTCCGTTTCGCGCTATCACAGCCTCAAGTAGGGCTCGGTGATGATGAAGCATATCGAGTCTCTGCGGTCTAAATTTTGAATCTGGCAAGTTTCAATGGCTGGAAGTCCATAGTTTCGAGTTTCGTAGGAATTTCGTGAATTTGGCATTCATTTGTTGTTTTTCAAGTGTGATCATAATTTTGCAGCCATTTGGTTATTCATGACATACATTGAAAAACGACTGCGAAAAGCGGGCTTTGTAGCTGATGCATGACACACCAACACCGAGAAATATAAATTAAAACTGATGGAGATAAAATAAAAGAAACAAAGGATTAGAGATCCAAATTGAGAATTACAACTTTGAGCAATTTGACGGTGAATTTACCGAATGATGTTCAAAGAGGATGATAGTCCGAAAGTTTAGTGACAAGTCAAGTCGTGTGATCGTTCGCCGCAGTTCGTAGAGAGTGCTACCTACAAATCGATATTTAAGGCTTCGAGACGCTAAAGGGAATTAGTCTCCCATCAATAAGTTCCATTCATTTCTGAAACTTGAATTAATAATACGAGCTCCCTTGCATCAAGTCCTCGGTTTAATGCAGATCTTTCGCCCTAAGCATCTCATCGTGCATTTGTGATACCTTTTCTAATACCCATTAATTTCAATATTACAATGAAGTGAGACCATTTTTGTATAAATTTTCTATTCAGAATCCTTGGACGTGCGGCGCTTGTTGGCCTTGAGGCTGCGTACGCTTTTGGCGTCGTCCTCGGTGAAACTATCCATTGTAGCTGTGGCGGTGGCCTCGGAACCTTGAATTGTAGGCTCTGCCGAGGATGGAGATGACGAACCCGCTGAGCCGAGTCCCTGCTGTACGAGGTGTTTCAAAGACTCACTGGCCTTGACAGCACCAGGCTTGATGGTCTCATCCACAAATGGCTGAACTTTATCATTGATAAAGCCCGGTCTGACATCTGCCTCGGAAATCAAGCCCAAATTCTTCTCACCAACGCGTTTCAAATGCTTCTCGAGCAAAAGAAAGTTCCTCAGGTTGGCTTTGTAACCAATCTCAATCAACTGACCAACAATGGGGATGAACGATAAGACAAAGTCAATGGCAATATTGAAAAAGAACAAAAGTTGAATATCCAAAGGCAAACCGTCGTCCAAGGAACGAGCGTACCAGTAAATCAGCAATGACCAGTAGTTGGCCACAATGGCCCCAAAGATAGGCACCAAGCCTACAACATTGGACCATCCCAACTTGAAGCCGAGAACACTGAACCACATGTCGTAACGGTAGGCCTTTTTCCTGACGGTCAGCAATATACTAACATCGTTTTGCAGAAGGCCCTTTGGTGGTTGCCTCTTCACCTTTTTGTATTTGGTCTTCCCTGTCTTTTCGTTTGTAGACACTGGGATGTCCTCATAGTAAGGGTCCTCGACGCCAAGCTTATTGAGCTGATTGTCTTTCAAGAATCGATTCGCAACCCAATGCAAAATATACAGATACATGATCGAAGGAAAGTAAAAAAACAGTAGTTCCAAGTAGTTTGCTAGCACACTATTGTGCAGAGAGACAGCAGAGGTGCCATAGTTAAGATTGCTAGGCCGATGCGCCCCAGCTTTATCATGTGCACCATATCCATGTAGCACCTGCAGCATGAGCATCCCATCGATGGCCGAGGAGGTCAACAATATTTATTTCCCCATACTCCTTGGTTTTTATCAGTCATGGTCGTTCGTGCTGTTATTGGAACGCTAGTGAACCGCATTCCTTACTCCGACCATTTACCACAATTTGTACAGCATGCCATCTATGAGGATACCTCCTCGTACGAATCAGCTAAGCTGGAGTCACCTTTGGCCAGCTCTTCTGATGTTGAGACCCCGATGAGTCCACAACAAAAGATTCATAACCGAATTTTACAAAACAGGGGGTCCGTGTCCACCCCTGCAATGCCGAATGATGATTTCTCGCTAAACGACCCGGTAGACCCTGTGGACCCTGTGTTACCGTCCCAGGATCGGAGTGACGCCTTGACCGAAACAGAAACGGTCCAAGATCCAGACTCTACTCGTCACAGCATGGTTCAAAAATACTTGGATGAGCAGAACGCCAAGTTCGATTCTCTTATCAACAAGAATCTCAATGTTGTTTTGCAGCAACAAAACATGTACGAGGACGAGGCTTCGTGGCAGCAGCTCATGGTTGAGATGGCCATGTCTAGAGACAAAGAAGAGATCAGCTTGAAGATGACCTCCTTGATGGGGAGGGCGTCTACATGGATCCAGTCGCATATACCACGAAGCATTTCCAGCAAGCCATCCAGCCGAGCTAACAGCAGGCCTGTTTCAAGAGCTGCGGTAACAGAAGCCGATAGCAACGAGCCTACGGACGCTGTAGTCCGGGCAGACGATGCAACAATTGAGAATTTCTTGGACTCACTTGATTATCAAACGAAGGTGAATCTTTTACGTCAATTGAGAATTGACTTGGGACTTTCGGACCAAGACGACTTGCTGAAATTCTCCCAAGAATTGTCAAAATCACATCCTGGAGCTCCTTCGCTTCTCATAGACAAGTTCGAGACACTTATGATCATCTCTGTCCGCTTGTCGTTCATTTGCCTCAAATTCATGATACCAATGGCAACGCTAATGTACCTCAAGTTCAGAAACAACGACGTGCTATTTTTCAACAACAAGAATTTCAACAGGCTCTTGACATTCACAATTAGATTTATGGAATCATTGGAAAAGAGACTAAAGACAGAGACACTTAATGCATATCAATACGGGCAACAAGCTCAAGATCCCCAAAGTTCTACACAGACAATTGAGCAAGATAAGGCCGTTGCCCAACTCGAAAGCCCATTTAATGAATTGCCCATAGACACGCCAAAAGCTACATGGACAGATACTTTTACGAGAATGGCTGTTAATTACTGGCTTAAGTCAAGAAGCGCCCAAGCAGATTACGCAAAAGATCCACGGTATGCGCAATACTTCTCTGGCAAGAAGGACGGGCAAGGTGATTGGGACGATAGAGACGAATCAAACCCGGGAGAGCAAGGCCAGCCGTCTTTTATCGACATAGCCCAGCAGTTTGCAGATCAGCTCAGGTAGCTTCCCACTGAAAACCGGATCCAGGCCATTTGATAGCCGACTGGCAGCAGCAGAGAGGGTAAGCAAGAATGGTACCTCATGTGATGTACTGGCTTGATTTCAAGAATGGGTGCAAAAAAAGATTCTCTCCTACAAGCATCTAGAGCACGGACTGCATACAAACAGAGCAAACTAAAGATACTAGGCCAAGCGTTAGGGGCTAAAGCGTCACAATAATGTTGACGACGGTTGAGGCCGTTATGACGTCCATAGCCATGCCTATAGATTGTTGAAGGCAATCTCAATTCTTTATTTGCAACAAAAGCAATGCCAGTAAGCAAACCACGGTCATTCGGTGGTGCCACTTTGGGCGAAAATTTCTTGAAACGCTGGTGAAATTGGGTGCCACCATGGTAAGAGACTTACTGAGATAGGAGACAAGCTCGCTGCATGGAAGAGGTGTAGAAGCTTAGAGAGGCATGGAAATGTCGCAGTTCGCAGTGCAGAGCCTCAGAAACGCTCTTGACACTCTGTTACTTGTATCTTAAGTATAGGGGCTAGGCGGTGCGAACGCTTATTGCCAGCGCATAGTGGTGCAAGAGCCTGAGTTGCTACGACATTTTTCTTCTTTTTTCTATAGACGGCATGAAGCCAGACGGCATGTGCCGCAATATGTGTGCACATGGGGCGCGAACATGAGGGGTTACCCGCCTGAAATTTTGAGATCTGGCCAATCATTTTTAGGATCGCCGCAGGAGCCACCTGCATGTCGTGCCAGGCCGCGACCCGCCCCCATCATTAAAATAGCGACAAGTATTCCCTACGTTTTTCTGAAGCTTTCTTTTCGCGCCATTCATATTCAACCAGCTTTTTTTTTTTTTTTTTTTCTCCAACACTTTTGTTTCTCGCGCACTAAGTGTCACCCCTTCACCTACAAATTTTTCCCACTTCATCACTGGGACAAAAACTTTAGGCGTCGACTTCTAGTGCTTGTGGTTATTACCAGGGGATATTTTTTTATATCAAAAGCTACTACCAACCAGTGATTACATCTGTATCCTGATTGGCACCCCTTTGGCTGAAGTTTTTTATATTTTACTTTCAAGGCCTTTGAATCCGTGTTGGTGACCAGTTTTTGCCACCCTGTTCAAAAGTCTCCTTGACCTGTGTGCAAGCATTGTCTGACTCCTTGATTGGCTGGTTCAGACTAACTACTGAGTTTCGCACCTAGTGGCATAACTCATCCAAACGTTCGCACACCAGACTTGTGCCGCCTGCATACCAGCGCTCACGCACAGTCTAATTATCCTGACTATGGCCTTGTGCTCTCAGGCCTTTCAATCGGCTAAGCGCTCCTGCGACTTTGGCTCGTCTCTGCAATGCACCCCCTCAAAGAAGGTTTGTCTATCGAAGATTGACTTGAACACTGCTAGAAAACCTCACAAGGTTTGCTTCAGTAAACTCAACAACCCTCTGGCGTGCTACTCTTCATCTGAATCAGATGCAGACTCTGACGACCAACAGTCATGCTACAGCGCCGACCAGGCCCGTGCCAAAAGAAGAGCTTCTTCTAGGATGTCATTCTCCGTCAACAACGAGCTTTCGAAAGCCGTTTCACAATACAGTGACGATGACGACCTAGAGTTGGAAGCTTCTGAACGCGGGTCCCCCCAGGCCACTGGCGATGCTAACTTTGACTGCAAGTTGATGAGCTCGCCTCGCGCCTCCTACAGTTTGGGCAGCTGCACAAACATCCAGCTGTGCCACGGCCAGCGGAATTCTATCACGTCCAGCTTTTTGCCAATCTCTGACAACAACTCGTCTGGTCCAAGCACCAAGAAGCACATGCCACAAGGTGACAAGTCTTCCCGCTCTAGGTGCTTCGACTACCTCGTTGGTGCCATTGACGAAGCATGGGCTAGATACTGTGATGCTGCCTCTTATGTGGAGGACGAAACATACGGTTACAACACACCAAACTCTGTTGCTACCGACGACGAGGACGACTATTTTGGCAACACAACGGACTTGACTGACTACGAGAGCGAGTTTGAGCACGAACAGAAGAAGTGCATTGCTCAACCAGTCTCCAAGAAACCCTCGATGATGGCCAAGCCCGTTGGTATCATGGCCAACGATAGCACAAGCCGTGCCTCGTCAACCTCTAAGGATCCTTCTTCGTGCCAGTTGCAAGCGTTGAAGGACCGCTTGATCAAAGCCAAGTACTTCTTGCAAGACCTCTTGGAGTCCGAGGACTACCAAGACGCCTCTGCTTTTTGGAAGCGTTGGGACATGATCAAATATGCCGCCATTGAGTTGGTTGAAGATGACGACGATGACGAAATCATCGAGTCTACCATCGACGACTTGGAGGAAGGGCGTCTTTTTACCAACTAGATTATTCCACCGTAACGGTGACGCGGAGATGAAGATATGTGATTTGCTTTTTCATTGTTTTATTAGTTGAAATTTGGGATTGGGAGTTGATTAGTGAGATCGCTGGGTTTTCAGCCCCAGGGTATATACTTGTATCATAGATTATTCTGAAAATATCCTTGTAGTGCACAGTCTCCAGATGGCATTGACAGGTTGAATGCGAGTTCAGGCACACGCCATACCACCATGCTTTTCCTCCAATTGATTGTCCTCTTGATCGCCCAAGTGTGGGCTGTTAAGGTTGAAATCGGTAGGTCATCTCACTATCATAAATCACCCCATTCTTACTAACTCCAGACGTGACCCATGTTCCTACTGACTGTCCTCACAAGACCAAGCCTGGTTCCCATGTTCAAGTACACTACAAAGGTTCCTTAGAAGATGGAACCGTGTTTGATGCTTCTTACGGTAGACTGCCAATTGGATTTGAGATTGGAGCCGGAAGAGTCATTGCCGGTTGGGAGCAGGGTCTTTTAGACATGTGTGTTGGAGAAAAGCGCACCTTGACCATTCCTCCGGAGTTGGGCTATGGCAGTTCTGGAATCGGTCCAATCCCTCCCAACGCCGTCCTTAGTACGTATAATTTTTTTTCTATCACCCCACAGGTGGTCACGATCCCCATACTAACCCCAGCCTTTGACGTCGAATTGGTCGATGTCTACATCCCTAAGGAGGAGCTCTAGTGGTGCTATGGCGCGACATATCAGTTCATATAGCTACTACACCATTTGCCTTCAAATTTTATCCTTGTAGCATGCGCAGATTTGCTAAAGCACTCGAAGAGTTCGTGGCGCTGGCCAAGGACTTTGCTGTTGTTTATTCCTCCTCCCGCTCTCCGTTGATACTGCGAGACACAGCCCGTGTCTGTATCCTCGACTCCCTGTTCAACCCACCCCACATGGCCCACTATGCCTTGGCCCGTGAAGCATTGTCGTATCGTTTTGGAGACACCCATCTTGAGAAAAACCAATTGCTGCTTCTATTACTTTTGCTGGTCAAAAATGCAGACAAGGTGGACCCTCAGCCGGCTTCATTCGAGCACAGGCTTGATATGATGCACCTCATGGCCGACTATTTGCACGACAATCTCAAAGTGGATGTCAGCATAGGCCTCACGCTGCACGCCAAGTTTGTGGATAAGCTGGTGTCGATAATGAATGACGTACGGGAACGGCTGCCTGAGAGTGACGTCAAGTTGACTTTCCTCGTAGGCTTCGACACCTTGCTCAGGATATTCGATCCCAAATACTACTTGCCGGACAAGTTGCTGGACCTGCTTAATGAATTCATGAGAACGACGGATTTGTTCTGCTTGACAAGGCAGGACAATGTCAATTCGTACCAGAACCAGGTGGACTATGTGCGTAGAATCCGCCACGGCAAGATCGCCCATATTCCACAGGCGTGGTCCGACGCCGTTCATATTTTCAGTTTCGAGAAGCAGGAAGACATTGAAACACTCGGGTCCGTCAGTTCCTCAGCGGTTCGCAAGGCTATAGCTGAGGACCCTCACCAGGAGCTCCCACTTATCCCGCAGATCAAGGACTACATTTTGGAAAATAAACTATATCAATAGTTACATATTAATGATGCAGACGAAGAAAATAATGGCGATCCAGCAGTAGCTCGCCGACAGTGCCCCCGATTCATTCACAACCATGGCCAGCAGACTTTCCATGGACATTGGATCGGTTGGTGTGTTGGCGACGTAGTTCTGGTTCTGGGAGTTAGTGCATTCATTCTTGCCACCACGAATGACAGAACTGATGCCGCTCTTAGACCAGGCCAAACAATCAAACGATTCATCGGTCGACTTTATCTTTGCACTTCCTCTGATCAACTTGAGGTTGGGAGCTTCGACCTCTTTGATTGGCCCGACCAACTCAAGTGCTCCGCTTATTGTGGTGAGCTCGGGAAAGAAGTCGATCTTGGTCAATTGAGTGTTGTTCGCAAGCACCAAACCGCCATCGATCTCTTTGAGCTTGTCAAACAGTACTTCGGATAACTCTTTGTTGTCCACCAACGACAAAGTGCCCGCTACCCTGCTCAACTTGGGAAATTTTGCAGAATGCAAGTGGTTTTTGTTCAAACTCATCAGTCCCTTGCACTCGTGGAGCTCTCCGAGGTCGAGTTGGTCCACATTGTGAATACTCAAGTTTTTGGTAGAGTGAAGGTGGGGCAAGTCGACGTTGATGTGGTCGCCATTGGCGGCAATGTGGAGCATATCTGTAACAGATTCCACGTCGGAACTGACCGACTCCAAAAACCGGTTGTTGTTGATGTTGAGCTGCTCCATCTTCTCCGAGTTGATACCTATAATGTAGCTGAGAGAGGTATCCGAGATAAGCACACTTGACAAGTTATGGATTCTTTCCCAGTTTATGTCTGCTGCGCTCAAAATAGGAAGAACATTCCACTGAATCTCTCTTACAGCAGTCAAGCTGGGTACCTGGAGAAAGCCCAAAGACGTCAACTCTTGCAACTTAAACTCACCAGAGATCAGCTGCAACATGGGCATTTCCAAACGAACAAGAGCAGGCGAGTTTTTTACCTCCAACAGACCGTCGACAAATCTCAACTCCTCGAGCTTCAACATGGCATCGTCGAAGTTGGTCACCACAATGTCACCCTGGATCTCGTCACAACCAAGGATCTGGTTCAAGTCGCCCAAAGACAGGATGGTGTATTGCTCCAGAGCACATTTACGAAGGTTTTGTGGCCTCATTAGCGTCGGAGGACCCGGCTGCAAAACAGCCAGAGAGTTGTTCTCGTCAACTGGGTGTTAGTGAATCCCAGAGTACAAGTGGAAAGGTAGGTCATACGATCACGACGGGCCCGGGCAGGTTGGTTGATCACTTGGCCATCAAAGAGACGAAAGCCCGAAGCCACGGCTAGTAAAGATATGGTGAGAGGCGGGAAGAATAACATGTTGCAAAAGAGGTTTGTGGTTTTCGCAGCCAAATCCTCAGGCTTTATAGAGGTGAGGGTGAGCCACCAGTACACGATAAAAAGCACACAGAAGGTGATGAAGAGGGTGTGTTTTTGTAAATTCGTTGTTGGGTTTTCTTGGGGATCTTCGAACAAAATAAAATGTTGCTTCGAGAATCCTGGCTGTTCTGGTTTCGTCAGACACTTTAGTAGGGTAGGTTCACAGGGCCAATTCAGATGCCGAGTCGAACGATCAGAAATTCTTCAACGTAAAAGAAAAGCGGGTAATTTCTACAGTCCAAACCAATCACATCTAAAATCTGCTCTGCCTCTTGTGGTTCTCGGTGAACCCCAGACTGTACAAGCGATGCTCATCGCAGTGGATTTTTTGCACTGTAAATAGAACCAACCACAAGTGATAAGACTACGCATTAAAGCATGAGCCATTTCGTCAACTTGAGCCTTGCCGAGGCCTCGAATAGGCTCGATGTCTACAAAAATCACTTTCCCCAAAAGTCCGTGCCATCTCTGGTCGAGTTTGCTGATCAGAATGTGCAAAACGACTTGGACAAACTAGCACTCATTGCATTGCATCTGGACTCCACGCTTGCCGTTTACTACGCCTATGAGCCTATTTTCCTTGACTTGATGGCTCGCTGGGTCCAGAATCCTGCTTGGTTTGAGCAGAATTACTGTGAAGCTCACGGGATCGAATCTCCAGCTTCAGGCTCCATCATCTTACTTGCATTGTCCAGGGTCATTGACTTGGCGCCAGAATCCACCAACTTGATAGAGTATTACTTGGCTTCTAATAACGGCCTCCGTGAACTCATGGACCCGAACTTATCTCCCTCGGATCTTCAGGCATCCCTTTTGGCATACTATAGAATCTACAAGTCCAACCCTCACAAGTTCAAGCACTTCATCGATCCCAAGAAGCTCTTCGAAATCATGAGCTTGGAGGACGAGAAGTACAACATTCCCAAGATCCTTTCCGTCTGCATTATCAGCAAATACATCAGTGCTTCTGAGGAGGCCCACGATGCGATGTTGGCTAAACACATTACAGGGTCCTATGAAGGCTCCTTCGATGGCGGTTACACCATTGACTACAAGTTCCTCTCGTTGGTGGAGGCCAAAAGACTCTCGAATCATACCAAATTGCCAACCGCCGTCTCCCACGCACATTCTCGAATCGTTACCATCGCTCAGAAAGACTTGTCCTCCCTCGTCACCTGTGTTTGCGGTGTACTTCTTTTTAATAGACTGCTGGAGAAGAACATCACCAAGAACGACCATTTTGTGCCCATTGAGAGCTCTGTGCTGGTCTTGAAGCAGTTGGCTACCCAGATCCTGAGAGACAGACCAGTTATGCTTCATGGCCAGGCAGGTTCAGGTAAAACTTTCCTCATCAACCAAATGGCCAGCCACATGAGCTGTTCCGATTCCATTGTCAAAATCCATTTGGGAGAACAGACTGACGCCAAATTGCTTTTGGGTACATACACCTCTGGCGAGAAACCAGGATCCTTCCAATGGCGTTCTGGTGTGTTGACTACGGCGGTGAAAGAGGGTAAGTGGGTTCTCGTTGAAGACATTGACAAGGCGCCCACTGAGGTGCTTTCCATCCTTCTTGTTTTGCTAGAGAAGCGTGAACTCAATATTCCATCCAGAGGTGAGGTTATCAAAGCCCATAGCGGCTTCCAGCTTATATCCACCATCACCACATCTTCCGAACGCAATTCGAGACTTCCTGACCTTATTGGTATGCGTCTCTGGGAGCTCATCGAGGTTCCTCAGCTCTCTGAACTTGACTTGAAAGCCATTCTCACAGCCAAGTTCCCTCTCCTCGCAAAGTTTATCGTCAAGTTCATCAAGGTATACAACAAGGTGCTTCAAATTTTTGCAATGCCAGCTTTCATTGCCTTGAACAAGGGTTCTCACCCAAGAGCCAACTCTACTAGAGACTTGATGAAGTTTTGCTCCCGTTGTCATAAATTACTCCATAATAGAGGTGTTACCAGCGATGATACACTTTTCGAAACCCAAGTTTATGAAGATATTTTCGCCGAGGCCGTCGAGTGTTTCGGTAGCGCCATCACCGAACCCTCCGCATCCGTTCCCTTGATCAATGCCATTGGTGAGATCCTTGAAATCTCCGCAACCAGAGTCAATCTTTTTATTGAGAACCATGTTCCAACAATGCATCTCGGAGAGGACAGTATCGAGATCGGAAGGGCTGTTCTTCAAAAGTCCTCTGTTGATAAAGCACTTTATAGCAGGGGTAAGACCAGTGAGGGCAGTTTTGCTCGTACTAAGCATTCTAAGCGTTTGATGGAGCAAATCGCTTTGGCCATTCAAATGGTCGAGCCAGTCTTGTTGGTTGGTGAGACAGGTACTGGTAAAACGACGGTCGTTCAAGAAATCGCCAAGATGATGAACAAGAAAATGACTGCTATCAACGTTTCCCAGCAGACGGAGTCTAGTGATCTTCTAGGCGGCTACAAACCTGTCAACACTATGACTGTTGCGATTCCTTTACAGGAAACGTTTGAGAACCTCTTTTTGGCGACGTTCTCTCAAAAGAAGAACATGAAGTTTTCCGAGCTTTTATCCAAGTGTTTCAACAAAAGACAGTGGAAGAACGTCATTAAACTTTGGAAAGAGGCAGTCAAGATGGCCCGTGCAACCCTTGAGAAGAGCGAGGATTCAGGAGACGAAAAGCCCGATGAAGGTGGTCCCAAGAAGAAGAGGAAATTGAGTTCAACGGAGAAGCTGGCTATGCTTGAGAAATGGCTTGACTTCCAATCTGGAATCGAGAAGTTCGAGGCGCAGGCCGCCAATCTCGAGAACTCATTTGTCTTCAACTTCGTTGAGGGATCCCTTGTGAAGGCTGTTCGTAACGGTGAATGGCTTCTTCTCGATGAAATCAACTTGGCTTCATCTGATACCTTAGAAAGCATAGCAGATCTTTTGTCCGAGGTGGCTGAACAAAGATCGATTCTTTTGAGTGAAAGAGGAGACATTGAACCCATCAAAGCCCATCCAGACTTCCGAATCTTTGGTTGTATGAACCCTTCAACCGACGTTGGGAAGCGTGATTTACCGGTCAGTATACGATCAAGATTCAGTGAGATCTACGTTCATTCTCCAGATAGAGACAGAGATGATCTTTTACTGATTATCGACAAGTACATCGACAAATTTGCCATTGGAGATGATTGGGCTGCGGATGACATTGCTGAACTTTACCTTGAGGCTAAAGCGTTGGCGGAGAAGAACAAGATTGTCGATGGTGCAAACCAGAAACCACATTTCAGTATTCGTACATTAACGAGGACCTTGACGTACGTTCGGGACATTGTTCCAACTTACGGTTTGAGAAGATCGCTTTACGAAGGTTTCTGTATGTCTTTCTTGACTTTGCTTGACGTGAGATCCGAGGGTGTCTTGAGACCTATTATCGAAAAGTACACCGTGGGAAAGACAAAGAGTCCCAAGTCTGCTCTTAATCACATTCCAAAGGCACCTTCTGACCCAAAGCACGAGTACGTTCAATTCAGACACTATTGGTTGAGAAAGGGCGCTTTCGAGGTCGATGAACAACCCAATTACATTATCACGCCATTTGTGGAGAAGAACTTGCTCAACTTGGTCCGTGCAACTGCAAGCAGGAGATTTCCTGTTTTAGTTCAAGGTCCTACTTCTGCTGGTAAGACCTCTATGATCAATTACCTTGCAGCCATTTCGGGTCATAAGTTCGTTCGTATCAACAATCACGAGCACACAGATCTTCAGGAGTACTTGGGAACTTATGTCTCCGACTCGAGCGGTAAATTGGTCTTCAGAGAGGGAATTTTGGTTGAAGCCTTGAGAAATGGTTACTGGATCGTTTTGGATGAGCTTAACCTTGCACCTACCGATGTGCTCGAGGCTTTGAACCGTTTACTTGATGACAATAGAGAGCTTTTCATTCCAGAGACTCAAGAGGTTGTTCACCCACATCCTGACTTCATGCTTTTTGCCACCCAGAATCCTCCTGGGTTGTACGGTGGTAGAAAGGTTCTCTCTAGAGCTTTCAGAAACAGATTCTTGGAGTTGCACTTTGATGATATTCCAAGAGACGAGCTCGAGATCATTTTGAAGGATAGATGTCAAATCGCTCCTTCTTATGGTAAGAAGATTGTGGAAGTTTACAACGAATTATCCTTGCAGCGTCAATCTTCTAGACTTTTTGAACAGAAGAACTCGTTTGCTACCTTGCGTGACTTGTTCCGTTGGGCTCTTCGAGAGGCTGTTGGTTACGAGGAGTTGGCTGCCAATGGGTACATGCTCTTAGCTGAGCGTGTGAGAAACGAAGAAGAGAAGCAAGTGGTGAAGCAAGTGATTGAAAAGGTCATGAGAGTGAAACTTGACATGGGTGCTTACTACGAGAAGCTCGAGAACAAGGAAATCTTCAACATCGAGCTGTCGATTGTCTGGACCAAGGCTATGAGGAGATTGGCCGTTCTTGTTGCCACTTCTATCAAGTATAAGGAGCCATTATTACTTGTTGGTGAAACTGGATGCGGTAAAACCACAGTCTGTCAGATTCTCGCTCAATTTCAGAATAAGCAGTTGATAACTGTGAATGCACACCAGAATACCGAGACCGGAGACATTTTGGGTGCTCAAAGACCGCTCAGAAACCGTTTCGAAACAAGAGGTGAGCTTGTGAAGAGCTTGGTGTCTTTCTTTGAGATCCTCAACATTGACGTTCAGCTTGGTGAGACTAATGCAGAGGACTTGATCAAAAAGTACAGAAAGACGGTCGCCGATCTCAGTGATGACGACAAGGAAAAGCTTGACGAACAGTTCATTGTGGAGATTGAAGACAAGATCAGAAGTGCTGGGACACTCTTCGAGTGGGTTGATGGACCTTTGGTACAGGCCATGAAAACCGGTGATTACTTCTTGCTTGATGAGATTTCGTTGGCAGATGATTCCGTTTTGGAGAGATT